CCCTGTCACAAAATTTTTTTTAAATAATAAAAAAGACAGGGGCTGGGGATTTAGCTCAGTGGCAAAAGCACCTGCCTGGCAAGCGCAAGGTCGTGAGTTCGGTTCCCGGTACCAGAGAAAAACCAAAAAATAAAAATTAAAAAAAAAATAAAATAAAAAAGACAGCGGTGCATCTCAGTGCAAAGGTCTTCAGTTCATCCTTAGTGCTGGGGAGAAAAGGAAACCAATCCTGTTGACACCTTGATTTCAGACTTTTGGCCTCCAAAACCATGAAAAAATACATTTTGTTCATTAAAGGAAACCCAAAACCCCCAAAATAACTTCAATTGAGTCATAAATACTCTGTAAATCAATGGAGAAGTAGAAAGTTTCAGTAAAGAAATGGAAAACACAATCTCTAATTCCAAATAGCACAGACTGAAAGAAATTCTTACCTAGATATAACATAACAAACCTATTAAAAACTAAAGACCAAGACAGGCATGGTAGGACACTCCTGTAATTCAAGCACTCAGGAGGAAGAGGCAGGAGGAGTTCCTGGAGTTCCCAGAGTTCGAGGCCAGCCTGGATTACCCAGTGAGATCCTGTCTCTAGAAGAAAAAGAAAAAAGAAGAAAGAATGAGAGAAAGAAAGAAAGAAAGCTAAAGACCAAAGAAAGCTTGAAAGCAGCCCCTCTGAGTGTATTCCTACTAGAAACCATTTACCTCAGTAATAGATAAAATCAGCAAAGAGATAGAAATAGTTGAAAAATATCATCAACGAACTAGATCTAACTGACACCTATATAACACTTCACCCAACAAAATCAGAAAGCACTATTTTCAAGTATACCTGGAATGTTTATTGAAATAAACTATACCCTGAGTCACAACATATTTAGAAATTAAAGTGACATAAAATATATATTATAGTTTAATGTAGAATAAAACTAGCAATCAATAAAATGACAATGGAAAAAATCATTATATTCTTGAAAATTAATACACTTATAAAATGATCCACAGGTCAAAGAGGAAGTCTTGAGAGAAATTAGAAATAATGTTTAACAGAGTAAAGGTAAAAATAAAATATATGAAAAAAGTTTTGAGATATAACTAACACAGTGATTGAGGGAAAATTTTAACATTTATTGCTTGTATTAGAAAAGTAATTTCTTGATTCAGTGAATAAAGCTCCTGTGCTGAGAAATAAAGAAGAATACATACTTGCCACAAGCAGAAGGTAGGAAAGAGCACATAGGGGAAATTAATGATAGTGGAAACAGAGTAGAGAAAATTCATAAAACCCTAGGTTGTTTCTTTGAAAATATCAATAAAATTGATAAATTTCTAGAAAGACTGGTAAAATGAGGAGAAGACATAAATTATCAACAGGAGTCCCTCCTTAGCCATGGGAGATACACAAAAAAAATCTCAATGTTTGAAACCCTAGACAGTAGAGAACCTTATTAGGCTGTTTTTCCCCTATAGTGTACATAAATACCTATATGTTTTAACATACAATTATAAATTTGACACAATTACAACCATATGCTGAATAAACATTCTCCTTCCCTAGTTCTGAGGCCTCAGGTCTTGGTCTGAACCATATTTCCAGCATATCCGGGTCTCCAGCTGATAGCCTGTCACATGATTTCTAAGCCTCCATAATCACAAGAGCCAGTTCGAATAAATCCCACATCTATCTCCCTTTCTGTATACTGGTTTTCTATCTCTTAGACATCTCAGTTGATTTCACATTTGGCAATATGAATAAAACTGCTATAGAAATTCATATTTGAATGGATGTTTCCAGCTTATGATGCAGTATGTAACCACTGAATCATTTGGTTAAAACTACTAGTCATGTTTGCCATTGAGGACAAAATAAATACACCAACAGTTAAGGGAAGAGAGGTTTATTTTGTTTGACCCACTTTCATCTATAGTTGGCGGGCTCCAAAGTAGGATAGTATTGGGGACCTGGCCAGGGTCCCCAACTGCCTGTATGAAGGGTACGGCAAAAGGATGAAATAAGAAACAAATTTAGTAATACATGAAGCAGGGCTGGGAGGTTCATGCCTCAGGATGGGCAGAGACAAAGACACTCCAAGCCAGCCACTATTTATTGGGTGTCTACAATGATAGGAGGGGCTGGCAGAAGATTCAAGGTGGCAGAAGACTCAGAGGTGGATGACTCAAAGAGAGCAGAGATGATCCCACGCTAGGAAGGATTCTTGGCCTGGAGTGTTTTTTACTTTTAGGGGTTTTAGTTTAGTCCTAATGGGTGGGAGAGGATGGCCCATCCCTAAAGGGTTAATGGGCAATCTCAAAAGGGTGATATGGATAATCCCAAACCTCTGTTTATCCCTTAGGGAAGTATGCAAAATTAGCCACTGTGAATTTGTGGTCCCCAACAGGATAGCTTGTGTTGTGGCTTGTGATTAGATGTCCCAACAAAGTCTCATACAGTCATAAGTGGGGCTTTTTCAGAGGTGGCTGGATCTAGCATGTGTGATTGAGTCATGGAGCAATGATAAGATTAAGGGTACTAGGATTAAGGGTGTGAGTGCTATCTGTCCTAAGGGTGGGTAACCTGGATACAATATAAGGGACAGAAAGAGCCTTGCTCTAGTTACTTATAGTTGGCTGCTTGCTTGCTTTTGCTGCCTTTTGCCTGCCATAAACTATTTCTCCTCTGCCATACCAACCTGCCTTGGACCCAGCCAATTACGGACTGAAATCTCTACAAACTTTGAGCCAAATAAACCTTTCCTCCTTTAACTTGGTATTTTGTCTCAGCAATGAGACAAGTAACTAAGACAGAATTTGGTATCAGGTAGTTCAGGAGCCTTTGGAACTGGTTTGTGGGAAATGTTAGGAAAGGTTTGGAGATGCCAGCTGAAAGAACAGCCCTGGTCACAGTGCCTGCCTAGCAAGCATGGGGTTCTGAGTTCAATGGTACCTCCTGGTACCAAAAGAAACAGCCCTGGAAAGCCTTCGACTGTACTTGGTGGGAGACTCTGGTCAGATCTCAGAAGATTAGAATGCTGATAGAAATGCTACCAGAAAAGACCAGGCTCAGGAGGTTTCCGCTGGGAAGGATTGCATTGGCTGTTGGAAGCCAGATGATATGTGTTAGGGCTGGCAGAATGTTTGTCTGCGCTTTGCTATTGTCCTGAGACTAAGGGTAGTGGACTAATTAATCTGGCAGAAGAAACTTCAAGGCAGTCTAATGTTGAGGCAATGACATAGCTACTGTTGGGGGCTTTTAGTCAGATTTATGTTGAGAATCAAAAGCAAAGAATTCAAAGACAGTGCAGATCATCACATCTGCTTTATCAACTCCAGTCACCTTCAGCTCACTGTCCCCTTTCTTGTGGAAAGAAAACTGGGCTCCAGGCGTCCTGGTGTCAGCATCTGCATATACTGTCACTTCTTTGGGGTTGAGGAGAGGAGGAAGTTTTGATTCTATGTGTAGCACGAAGAAGTTTGGAGAAGTTGCTTATCTCTAAAAGAAAAACATCTAACTTTTAAAAGTTCTATTTTGCAGTGCTGGTTAGAGTTTATGTCTAGATTTACCACGCCCCACCCCGCCGCTCAAAGCCTCACTGGCTCAAAGATGGGCCTTTTGGGAGGTGACTGGAATATGGGTGCTGATGTTACAGCTGAACTTCTCCAAACTTCTGTCACTCTGTGCTCCTTTCCCCTTTGCTCCTTACTACAAAGGACCTGTACCCCTGTACAAGGGGAGATGGTGATTGAGGCAAATAGGACCCTCCATCTTCTAGGCACTAGCTTTAATTAATCTCTGTTTCCCAAAATATATGGCCTCCTTTGATTTGGGCAGCGGTGAGCAAACGAACCTGAGCATATGAACTTAAGGGGCTGATAACAAAACTATAATAACTAGCTTTATAAGAAACCGCCAAACTATTTTCCAGAGTGGCTGCAACATTTTACACTTTTACCAGCAATTAGTGAGTTTCTGTTGCTCCACATCCTCATCAACATTTGCTGTATTTTCGATTTTAGCCATTCTGATAAGTGTGTAGTACAGTACTGAGGCAAGAGATTAGGGCGTGGCCAGCCAGCTGGGCTAGTGTGACCTGTCACTCATGGAGACCCAGAATATTTGAGTCAAAGCCCTGCACCTGGGACCAGTCAGAAAATGTTATCTTCTCTGGAGAACTGAAGCAAGTTTTTTGATGAGGTGGCCTAGATCTGCTGTCAGCCTGAACAGCAGGACGTGCAAGAGATAGCGGCCCGCCCTCACCTAGCTCAGACTCACTCTGCAAAGCCTGTTTCTTTTCTTTTCATACTTTAAAAAATGTAAAAACCTTGGTAAATTTTGCGCTTATCTTGACCAATTCTTTGTTCAGGACAGAAAGAACCAGAGACTCCACCACCCCAAAACAATCTCATTGTTTTAACTTGCGTCTACCATGTTACCTGAGGCTGCCCATCTTTGCCCATACTTATTTCCACAGTGAGGCTTTTGTAAAGACCTTTTGCCTACTTCTGATCAGGTTGTACATTTTCTTATTGTTGCATTGTCAAGATACGTGTATTTTGGGTGAGAATACTTCATCAGAGGTCCCTTGTAAATCTTTCGTCCTGGTCTGCGGCTGGTGTTCTCTGACACCTGTGTCTTTTTACAGTAGGTAATCCTTGTGCACATCACCGAATAACTTGCTTTTGAGATAATCTCAAGCATTTGCTCTTTTACTTAGGATTTCACAACTACCATTTTTGAGGGTTGCAAATTTATCAGTTATCGCAGCTGACCGTACAGCTGAGTGCTAAGTAGCCTAGCTCCGGCCGGAATTCCCCTGCAGTTCATCCGCACTGCGCTCATTCAGGGTCTCCACCGGGCAGGGGTTTCTATTTCCTCTAGCAGGAACCCAGAGGCCGGCGCGGCAGGCGGGAGGCGGGAGGCTGCAGGAGGGAGGCGGGAGGCGGGAGGGCGGGAAGCAGGCGGCAGCGATAGGGTGACGCCAAGCCGCGGTCCCGCCCCCCAGAGCGCGTTTATTTAGGCGCCGGGCGGCCAGCAGAGGGGCCTTCGGGCGCGGCCGTCCGTCGGGCCGGGACGTCACATCGCGGTGCAGAACAGCGAGCGCGCGGGCGGGCTCGGCGGGACACCAGGGCGACGCGCGGACGGGCGCGGCCACTGTCACTGCGGAGCCCGCGCGTTGTCCGGCGGCCCCCGCGTCTGCTCCCCAGGGAGGACGCCGCGCCGTGGGCGCCAGGCCCGACTCGCCCGCTGACGCGTCTCTCCTCGCCCGGGGCCGGGGCAGTCTGTCACAGAACCGAAAGCGACTGAGGTGCGTGAGGGCCGAGGCCCGTCCCGAGGTTTCGCGGAGACGGCTTCCGGGAAGGGGCGGGGGGCCGACCCTCGGGTGGGCGTGGCCCTGTGCGCTGGCGGTGGGCGGGGCCGCGAGTGTTCCCGGAAGTGGACGCGGAGCGGCACCCTGTCCACCTGTGGGAGGGCGGCTGGACGCTCCTTCTCCCTCCTCGAGTTTCAACTCAAGTCCAGAAGGTGGCGAAGATCTGCCCTCAGCCACGGTTAAGGCGTGCCCGCAGAGCAGAGCTCCTTCGTTGTTCTGGTAGGGATGATGAGTTCTTACTGCGGTATCCTTAAGCAGTGTTCCTGCGCTTGCCTGAACAGGGTTACATAAATGTCTCCGGCTGAGACTTCTCAACCCTTTAAAAGTTCTTTCACTGTTGCACTTGGGTTCACGGTAGGCTGCAAACACAGTCAAGAGTATTTCTGCATAATTTTAGACGAGCTGGCAAATGGGCAAGGAGCCGTCAACAGCCAAAGGAACAAAGGGACGGATATCATGACTAGGACGTTTCTTTGGTCGTCAGTGGCATTTGCTTTTGTGAAGTGCTGCACCCCTCTTCAGGGTTTAGGAGAGGATGTGGGCATTTTCCTCATGTCAGTATTTCATAGAGCTTCCTTGTGTCTTGCTGATCACTAGACTCTTCCTTGCAAAGACATTTATCTTGGGCAAAGCATGTAGCTGCTTTAATCAAGAAATTTGAAGGAGCCATGTGTGGGGACACATGCCTGTAATCCCAGCACTTGGGAGACTGAGGCAGGAGGATTGCCGCAAGTTTGAAGCCGGCCTGGGGTACATAGTGAGTTCAAGGCTAGTGAGACCTTGTCTCCAAAAAAAGTTTGGAGTCCTTTAGTCTTTCACCGTTAATACTTCCCTCATTTATGCTTAAAGAAACCAAGACACAGATTGAACTTTGCAATGGAGAGTGACTTATTACTTATCTGTACTTTTTACTCATTTGTCCATTACTCCCCCATATTTCTAACAGTGCCCTCATTTAGTGTAGGCAGATAAGGCTGAAAAGTGGATTGTTGTATGATGGATCTTTACAACTGGATTTCTCCATAGTTAAGTTATTGTTTGCCTATTGTGTTGTATTGGCTGAGAAAGTTCCTTTCTTACGAGTAACTTCAAGGCCATCTGCTGGGTCTTGCCTTTCCCTGAGTGAAAGGTTTAATGTAGACTTGATTTTCCACTGACTAGCACAGGAAGGAACAAGTTACCATCATGTCATATCTGAATGTAACCATCCTGATAGGAGGAACTGACCTGTGGGAGAGAGCTCATTCAATTTCTGATTGAAAATTTTGGGCGCAGTATGGTTAAGGACCCTTCCCAGATGAGAGGAGCTGGAAGGGGAGGCCCTCCAGCAGCATTTTTTGTGGCTGCATCAGCTAGTTGAATACCTTGAGATACTTCCTTAACTTCCTTTTGGTGTCCTCTACAATGAATTACCACCATTTTGGAGAGTAAATAGACAGATTTTAAAGTAATCATCTACCTCCTTATGATACTTCCTGGGAGAGCCATTAGCTGTCAGACAATTTCTTTCCATATGACTGCGAGGGCATGCAATACTAGGGAAGCATATCTTGATTCAGTATAAATATTACCTTTTTGTCCCTTACTGAGTTGTAAGGCCCAAGTCAGAGCTCTGCTAGCTGAGCACTGGTCCCAGGTACAAGTGAGGAACTTTGAGTGTGATGCACTTTGCCTTTCTTGTCCCAACTTTCATGAAGGAGCTGCCATCACAGAAGAGGGTCAACTCAGGATCAGTAAGGGGTGTGTCTAACAAGTCTGCTCTGGCTGCATATGTGTGGAGAATTACCTGTTCACAGGCATGTCTCTCAGCTTCATTTTCCTCCTTTTCTTGTGGGTTTCTGGGTTTGAAGAGGAACACGTCTTTATTTGAATTGCTTCTCTTCTAGAAGTAGAGCCTGGTATTTAAGAAGTTGGCTGTCTGGGGGCTGGGCATTTAGCTCAGTGGCACAGTGCCTGCCTGGCAAGCGCAAGGTCGTGAGTTCGATTCCTGGTACCAGAAAAAAAACAAAAAAGAAGTTGGCTATCTGATAGCCATAGGCTCCCTTTGAAAGAAAGAAGTCCTGCCACATTGTGAGGTGTATATACAATGAGATCTTTGCCTGAAGTCAGTTTGGATGCCTCCAGCACTAAGAGGGCTACTTGCAGCCACAGCTCTAAGGTACACAGGCCATCCCTTTGCTACGATGTCTAATTTATGGCCCAGCTACCCACAGGCTATAGAGCATCTCAGGTCCCGTGTAAGTACTGTTGTGTAAGCCATGCACCTCCTTTCATCAGTGTGCAAGTTGCAGCAGTGTACTTTCAGTAGGCTCAGGGCTGGGGCATTTAGAAGCACTTGTTTAAGCTTCTGGAATACAGTTCGGAAATCAGGTTCCTAGGTTTAAATATGGGTATCTGCCTTTCAGGCTTCTTTTATAAAATGATAGTGGGGTTGTGCAGTCTCACCACGTGCTGGCATCCAAAGGCGGCAAGAACCTATAAGTCCTAGGAATGCCCTTGGCTATTCTTGTGGAAAGCCCAAGAATTGGTTTAATTATTTCTTCCCCCAGCCTTTGGCTTCCCTTGGATGTAAGGCCTAAATATTTTACCTCAAGGCTACAAAGTTGTTTCTTAGACCTAGAGCCCTTATAACCTCTGTCTGCTAGAAAATGTAGCAACACACAGGTGCACTGGCTAAAGAGCTCTTCTGAGGGGCCACAAAACAGTGTATCATCTACATATTGTAAGACCATGACCTGGGAAAGTTCAAAACATGCCAAGTTGTGGGAAAGCACTTGCCCAAAAGAGGAGGACTGTCTCTGAATCCTTGAGGAAGCACAGTCCAAATCAGTTGAGAAGCCTGGTCCTGAGGGTTTTCAAAGGCAAAAATAGAGTGGGAATGTGTTTGTAAAGGAATACAAAAGAAGGAATCTTTTAAATCTAACACTGAGAACCAACTTGCATCTTCTGGGATCTGAGAAAGAAGAGTGTGTGGATTAGGTACCACTGGGGGGATTGGGAGTACTGCTTCATTTCTCAGTCTAAAGTCCTATACCAACCTCTACTGCTCATTGGGTTTTTGAACTCCCAGGATTGGAGTATTGCACAGGCTGCTACTGGGTTTACAAGTAAACCCTGTGTCCTTAAGTTATCAATTATAATCAATAATCTTCTCTTAATTTCAGGTCTTAAAGGATATTGTTTCAGGGGAGGAAAAATAGATCTTTGAGGTGTCTCTAAATTGGAGCAACTCTTATTACCCTGCCTTTTTTACCTTTAGTTGCCCATACTCCAGGATTTATTTCTCCATGAAGGGTGCATGAAGGGAAGGTAGCATACCTGATCTGGGTGCATATATATTACAGTATTTAAACCAGATAAAAGATCTCTTCCCAAGAGGGAAACTGGACTTGCAGGCATAATCAAAAAGGAATGTGTACAAAGAAAGCCATCTAGTTGCAGCTTAAGGATTGTGAGAAATAGTGAGTTACCTCCTCTCCAGTGACCCCTTTCACTGATGTTTGATGGCTGGAAGGAAGGCCAGGAAGGCCTTGAAAAGAACTGAGAGATACATGCCAATGTCCTGCAATAGGTTGGTTTCTTTCCCCTCTATAGTCATGATTACCAAGGGCTCTTCTGTGGAGATGACAGTCTGGCCAGAAGGAGAAAGCAGGGAGTGCCCCAGGACCCTTTAGTCTTGTGGACCAGCTGTTAAGATGGATCTGAACCCTGGGGCCTCCACCTCAGAAGGTAATCTGACTTCCAGTGGTCACCTTAGCAGTCAGGGAATGGCCCAGGAGACTTCTTATTGCAGTTTTTGTTTTTTTTTTTTTTCAAAGGTGGCCTGGCTTTTGGAGGTGGTAGCACATGAGGGTTATAGTTGTCTAGCTCTTTTTGGAGCCCTAAGAATCAGACTTAGAGTCTATTCCTTTTAAGGCTGCAACAAAGGCAGCCACTTTCTCCTGGTCTCTGTTTTCTCTCCTTGGCTGCCTCCTCATCTCAGTTATAAAATACTGAGGAGGCAGTTTTCACTAAAAGTATCAAGTGAGCTACCTGGAGCAAGAGCTGTCTTTTGTAACTTTTTTCTAATATCTGAGTCTGACTGGGTAATAAACTTGTCTTTAAGAGTAATCTGTCCTTTTGTTGAATCAGGAGCTAGGGATGTATGTTTTACCAATACCTCTTGTAAGTGATCTAAGAAAGTAGAGGGGTTCTCATTTTTTTCCTGCTGAATAGTTGACAATTTAAAATCATTGAAAGGCTTGGTTCTTGTCCTTCTCAAACCCTCAAGAGTACATGTCTGGAGACGTCTCCTATTCCAGTCTCCCATCTGGTTGTTAGACCAGGAGAAGTCTTGGATAGGAACTGCTTGGGCTTCAGGAGTAACTGGTTGTTCCCATGACTGTCTATCTTATATGACATTCATCCCTAAATGCAAGAGCAACTTGTAATGCTTGTCTGTCATTAGATGTCAGTGTTTGATTTAAGAGGACACTACATCTTTCTAGTCTAGCTTGTAGGTCTGAGTAAGTCCTGTAAGACCTCAATGTACATATCAGGGTTGTCTGAAAACTTTCCTAAATCTAGCTTCATCTGCTTTATGCCACTGAGAGAAAAAGACACATGAACATGGTAGTTTCAAATTTCCCATTTACTTCCTGTAAAGAGCTTGAATAAACTCAGCTAAGGATGGATATATCCCTGTAGAGGCTTTGATTATAGCTGGTCTAGAAGCTGTACCCTCAGGACCCAAAATGCAAGTGGGGGAAGCCTTAGACTCAGTAATAGTGGGCGAGGCTTTGATTAAGGTTGTCTTGGAAACCTTGTCCTCAGGTGCCAAAGGTTGAGAAAGAACAGTCTCAGGGCAGGGGTAGTGGATACCTTAAGGGCCTGAGGTGTCTGGTTTTCCAGTGGCTCACCTTTACATTTTGAACACAAATAAGGATGATTTCTTAATG